TGATGAAGGCGGGAAAAACACACAAGGGGAGGAAGAAACAGGGCCTGAAATGAAAGACAAGAGGTAAATACAAAATAAAACACAAAATTACGGACAAAATACATAAACATAACTAACACATTCGACGAGACACAACAAAAGATAGCTTATCACAACGCTGTAGTATCAAAACAATTTCCTTATATGTATTCTTACTACAGAAAGTAATGCACATGGATCAGCTTGATTTATGTATTTCATATCCACCATTTTCACCACATTTATTGTGTTCTACCCAAGCTTCAGTAGGATAAACTGATGACTAATTAACTAATGAAGAACCTTTGATACACACAACTTAAAGACTACTACATTACCCACAATACAACTCTCGCAGTAGGAGGCATATTTTCCATTAAAACAAGAATATATGATGTTGTGAGTAGACATAATTGTCCATCTAGTCAAATAGGTTGGAGTGATTAAAGGGGCCCTATTATGCTAATTATCTGGTTCATAATTGTGCCTCTCCTGTGACATGTCTCCATGCTTTAATGTTCAAAAAGCTCTTTATTTTTCTCATACTGCCTGTGCTGCAGCACCTCTTTTCACCCTCTGTCTGAAACCAGAGCCCAGTTTGCTCTGATTGGTAAGCTGGCCAGCTCGGTTGTGATTGGTCAACAGTAACAGACAATGGAGCGCTAGCCAATAGAAGCGCAAGTGTTATGTATTGATGTCACTACAAACAATTTTAGCCTTTGCAGACAATTAACTTGCTCAATAGCCAATATAACACACTACAGGAAAGGGGAAACCCCAAATTGATAATAGGGCCCCTTTAAATTCATCCTTTAGAACCACTACTATCTACCACATAATTTGCTGTAGGTACATTAACTTTGTCATATGACATCATGTAAGGTGACAACACCTGTGTTAATGTCATTTTTGCTTTTCTGAAAATCTTAAATATGGCTTAAAAAACAAAATTATGAATCGAATTTTAAACAGATCATTTCCATTAAAGCATCTCAGCAGGGGGCGCCACACTGCCATTGGGTATCAGTATCCATTTGGGTTCTCAGTGTCTGCCCTGATGTGGCGTTGATGTAGTGATAGGGGTGTGCCTCTGTCAGGACCTCCTAAGAGGAGGGTGGACACATCTGCTGCCTCTGAGTTCCTGTCACATGGAATTACAGAATCAATCATTACTTAATCAAGTCCTCTCCATCTCCTTTGCCCTCCCCCCTTTCTCTGTGACTGTCCCTCTCTTTTATCTCTTCCCTCTGTTTCTGAATGTTCCCTCTTCCTCTACACCCTGCTTTTCTTCGTCCCTATACATCACATAGGTTTTTTCTCCAGCTCGTTTCTCCTTGACATTCCCTTTTTAGCCTCTCGCAACACACCTCCCCCCCTCGTCTCCCGTCCACTGCCTCTAGGTCACCAGAAGCTGATCCAGCCTCCTGTTCATGAGTCTTACTTAAACTTCAGTTATGTCAGCCGGCCTGCAGAGGAGCTGTAGCAAAGCCCCAGGGATCCAGTCACCTTAGAAGTGCAAGAGGAGGAAATGCAATATATATACTGTGGTGTAATTGGACAGAGTGTATCAGAAAACGTCAGGATGAGGATAAACAAGAAGATATGCAGTGAAAATGGTGTAAAGGTCATAATTGTAATGGCTTATTGTAGATGTTTTTATTTTGCCTAGGGCAAATCATTACAAATATCACTGGCCTTTATTACGCAGTGCATGTATTACATTTGTTTCCATAAGGGGCATTCAGATACAATACAATATGTTTTTATTCTCAAAATTGATTCACTTTTTGCAGTGTAAGACTACATCAGATCATATTACATTACATTGCATTACATTGCATTTAGCTGACGCTTTTATCCAAAGCGACTTACAATAAGTGTGTTCGTCCAACAAAATACAACTTGAAGAAAATAGAATCATATAAGTACATCAGGTTTCATAGAGCAAAAACATTTCAAGTGCTACTCAACTGGCTTTAGGTAAGCCAGTCCTTTATTAGTATAAAAGTGCTTCGTTAATAGTTCTATCGCTCAAGTGGAGTCGAAAGAGATGAGTTTTCAGTTTGCGCCGGAAGATGTGCAAGTTATCTGCCGTCCTGATGTCAATGGGGAGCTCATTCCACCATCCTGGAGCCAGGACAGCAAACCCACGTGTTTTCGCCGTTGGGAACTTGGGTCCCCCTCGCAGCGAGGGCGCAGCGAGTCGTTTGGCTGATAGAGAGCGTAGTGCACGCGCTGGGGTGTACGGTTTAACCATGTCCTGGATGTAGGAAGGGCCAGATCCATTCGCAGCATGGTAAGCAAGTACCAGTGTCTTGAAGTGGATTCTAGCAGTTACCAGTTAGCCAGTGAAGCGAGCGTAGGAGCGGAGTGGTGTGGGAAAATTTAGGAAGGTTGAAGACCAGACGAGCCGCTGCATTCTGGATGAGCTGCAGAGGTCGGATGGCACATGCAGGTAGACCAGCCAGGAGGGAGTTGCAGTAGTCTAGGCGTGAGATGACGAGAGCCTGGACCAGAACCTGAGTCGCTTTCTGTGTCAGCTGGGGACGTATCTTCCTGATGTTGTAAAGCGTGTATCTGCAGCAACGGGTTGTAGCAGCGATGTTTGCAGTGAAGGACAGGTTGTTATCTAGGGTCACACCCAGATTCCTTGCAGTCTGAGTCGGGGAAACAACTGAGGTGCCGATGTTGATTGTTAGGTCAAGAGTGGGACAATCTTTTCCCGGAAGGAAGAGCAGCTCAGTCTTGTCAAGGTTGAGTTTGAGGTGATGAGCAGACATCCACTGAGAGATGTCAGCTAGACAAGCAGAGATGCGTGCGACGACGTGGGTCTCTGAGCGGGGAAAGGACAGAATTAATTGGGTGTCGTCAGCGTAGCAGTGGTAAGAAAAACCATGCGGGCTAATGACTGATCCGAGCGAGTTTGTGTACACGGAGAAGAGGAGGGGACCGAGAACAGAGCCCTGAGGGACCCCCGTAGTTAATTGACAAGGGTCGGACTCAGACCCTCTCCAAGTCACCCTGTAGGTACGGTCTTTCAGGTATGAGGTGAGGAGGGAAAGTGCAGAGCCTGAAACTCCAAGTTTTTGGAGAGTGCGAAGTGTCTTGAAGTATCAGAATCAGAACCACAGATCCAAGCCCACATTTTCCAAAAATGTAGGAAATAATTATGTTGTGCCAGCCCAGTGATCATGTGCTCTGTTTCCCAAAATAAATCGAAAATCTAAATGAATATCTGCTTTAAATCATCCACAACATCCCCATATTAAAACAAAGAATGGTTGTATATGTATCTATAGCTACATTGACTGTCTGAGTTGTGTGTTTCTGCCTCCTACAGGAAAGTCATCACTGTTTTGATATCATTGACTTTGTTATGGGATGACCATGTGATCCTTTTGATGATCTGATGTCTTGGTAGTTACCACGCAACCACAACGTCCACAGTATAATTGTAGCTGGATAGTCATACCTCCCTGACTGCACACTGTGGATTATAGGTGAAAAATGACATCTTAAAAAGTTTCAGGTTTTGCAATGAGTCATCACAAACGTCATTAGAGCAAAGGCCAATCTAATGCCTTCAGTCACCAATAACACAAGTTACAAGTACAACATAGTAACAAGATGTTTGATCTGTATTAGGCTTGTTTGTGTTGGTTTTGGACCATTAACATAATCTATATTTGACTGATCAAGCTGCAAACATGACTGTGCTTTTGTTTCATGAACTGGCGTCGCATTTGGAAATCCCTGTCTTAAAAATACTCTTAGGTCTCGAAATTCAAAGGAACCTCAAGCGGAAAAATCACAAACGAGCACTGCACTAGTATTGTAAAATTCATCCTCACAGGTCATGCTCACCAATGAAATCCCTACACACAAGGGCTGTGCTACATTGTGCCACCTTCATGGATTTTGATGATTACAGAGGTTGTGTCAGTTCAAAATTATGCACAAAGTCCCATTCGTAGCTTACTCTAGTCCAGGGGTGCCCACACTTTTTCAGCATGGGAGCTACTTTTAAAATGACCAAGCCCAAATGATCTACCTACAGGGTGCGACACAGATAGTGGACTAAACGGCAGATAGTGGACTAAACGGCGGTGAGGAGGTGAGGCCCCCTCATAACTGCATGAACCCGTATGGCACAATACAACTCAGACTGGCTTACCTGTACGTCAATCAAGTGGCAAATGCCATAGTAAGGATGGATGATAGGCTAACTTAAAAAAAAATATATATATATCTTTTTTTTCAATGCCATGCGATCTACCCACACTACCTTTGCGATTGACGTATTGGGCACCCCTGCTCTAGTCCAACCTGCTATAGTTATAGCACTACTTCCTCACATTTCTTTTCAGGACAACCAATTTGTGTGTGAGAGACTACTGACATAGGAATTGGAATCCTAATTTGAAACATAAAATACTTTCATTTTGTATGTGGCTTAACATTATTTTCACCAGTTTATTTCCCCCATGCTGTAGTCCAGAATCTGAGAAGTGTTAGCACTTCTGTGGTAACAGTGGCTACACAGAGGAAAAAATCACTTAAAGCTCAGTGAAATAAGAAAAACCTTACCCTGATTTTGGAGAAAGAAACATGCTAAATTGTCTTGACAAAGAATGTGCTGCGAAAATGCAGATGCACGGTATACAGTAAGTACATGCACACACAGCACAGCCCCAATTTTGCTGCAACAAAAAATAGACTGCTGGTGTCCCCTCCAAGGGAAAACCCATCACAATTGTGCTAATCCCTTCCCCAATCAACCCGTTGTGAGTGGCAAACCCTGATAAGCCCCTTAACCAACCACTACACACACACACACACACACACACATACACACACACACACACACACACACACACACACACACACACACACACACACACACACACACACACACACACACACACACACACACACACACATGCAAAACACACATCCAGTCTCAGTCCTGTGCTTCCACTCACCCATGGCAAAGAACGGGATCCCCAGCAGTGTGGAGTTGAACTTCCCGTCCGATATAAAGAAGATCCCTGCGGCCGTCACGTTGGCGATGCAGATGGTCAGAACTCCCAGCAGCCCCAGGAACGGCTTCCCCCTCAGGCAGTCCCGCATGGAGCTGGAGATGGTGGCGGCCAGGAGTACCAGCACCAGGCTGACCAGCACCTCCCCCTTTGCCAGAACACCCGTTTGGTGGAAGTCCCGCCAAAGGCTGAAGGAGGTGAGGGACTGGATGTGGAGCTGGTCGGACGCGTGGGGCGCCTCGGCCGTGGAGAGCCGGTTGACAAGGGCGCAAAACTCGTTCTCCCAGCGTTCCGCAATGACATCCTGCACCACGGGTCCATGGTTGCGGAGGTAGTAGGTGATCTGGACGGCGCGTGCAAACTTGACCTGCTGGTCGCGGCTGTTTTGCGAGAAGGACACACCACCCAACTGGTGGCCGATGAAGGAGACACGGCCATCCTGTAATTACAGATACCTGGCGTTAGCTTTGATGAAAGTTATTATAAATACATTATTCAACTGTTTTTAAGGCTCCCCACCAGTGGAGACCAGTTGTGTTGTACAGCAGACAGAAAAACAGCAGTGTTTGGGGAGCAGCCAGCTGTACTATAAACTGGAAAGTTCCAGCCCACACAGAGCAGTGCAGCAGCAGTCCTCTGACATGTTTGCTTCTGTGTTTATTTACCATTTAACTTGAACTCACCTTACTGCTGTGGACAGAACTGGGTTGGAAGGTTGGTGTGCTGCTACGTTATTGAATAGCTCCATTTAATCATATAGAACATGCAGGACATCACAGTGACAAGAGTTTGAAGATAATTTGATTTGAATTGTGCAAAGCAGAGAAGAGCTCAGTGAGGCAACTGGGGCCATAAAGTGAGTCTGTCAGTCCCTCAGTAAGAAATACAGATTTGAGTTAAATGGTTGCACATCATTTCTCAAATGTAAGCTGTAAAGGTGGCCAAGTATATGCATATGATGCCACTATTATGATAAACTGTGTTTATTTAGCTACTACACATAGGGCTGGGTATTATGAAGAACATAACTCTTATTATCCTGTCACAGATTCAATTCGATATCCCGATGCATCACGATTTATACCAATGCGTTGCTTCCTTAATTTTCTATATTACTGCACATGGCTTCTTTTTCATCAATGAATACATATGAACTCTCTTTTTATTATTTAGAAAGTGCTTCAGAAATCAATAACATAAATGTCTTGACATTCATTTATAAACCAAAATAAATCAATTGTATAGATCTAGCATCCCTATAAAGTATCTGAGTGTGAAATTGTTCCATCCTCAAAAACCAAAAACTAATGCTTCTGCAGTCTAGCTGCAGCTTCTAGCAACGGTCTGCTGTTAAAAAAAGGACACTGAATGTCCTGAATGTGGCATCACACACAGGACTTGAGTCTGAACACAGCAGACAACAGGAGTATTTACAATAGCAAACAAAAATACTGCATGTGGGTGCACACTTACATTCTCTGTTTTACTGTTACATTAATCCCATGAATGTATGAGATTAAGTTAGCTTCATTATATCTCAGTGATTAAGTGAATAATAAAGTTTCTATCGGGTCACTATCAGCCTGTCACTCATTATTTTCAGGGGGGGCGGGGTTTGGAGGAACAGAGGAGACGGTGATCGCGGAAGCTTTTTTCCTCCTGCCTTCACAAACTTTACACACATATATATCGTCTGAAAATAGCAAGAGGACATTCATACTCTGCAATCCAAGACTTCCACCAAAAACCTGACATGATTGTAACGCGAGTATTTAAAAAAAAAAACATAAATCCCTGTGTGGCTGAGCCGCAGCGACACGGAGTGATTCAGAGCGGGTCCTTCTGCTGTTGGTTCTGGACTGGTGTTCTTGTGTTGGTGGATAAAGCAGACTCCGTGTTTGGTGTTGCTGTGCCGCTGTCACGTCTGTTCCCTGATCTCTACGTCACCGACCGATTTGATATTAACGTGACCAAAAAACAAACAAAAAAAAAACGTTATTGTAAAGCCGCGGCCGTAAAATCAGGAAGCAACGTTACTACGCTATATTCGATTATGTTCTGTCACTGCATAGATGCAAAATCGCCTACGTCCGCATCGCGATGCATCGTAGAAACGATACATTTCAACACCCCTAATAACTCAACACTGATCGTGCAACAGTATTGTAGGTTTAACAGGTTTCGATACATTATCACCAATAATGTGGATATAATGACAGAGCGGGTAAAGGAAAATTATTTAAAATACATCACTTTACTATAGCCTTTAAAACAAGGAAAAGACAATAATTTTGACATATTACGATATAACAATATCCAAAATCAAAGATTATATATATGTTATGACAATATCCATATACCGTAATTTCAATATATTACCCATCCCTAAAGTCAATGACCCGAAGGTCTCTGAAGCAATGTTTCCGAGCTATGCTAACTATGAGGGTATTTGTTTTTCGCAAACCGTTGCTTAGTCATAATGTTAGCACTCTCGTTTGGCTAATAACACAGCAAAGGTTTCACGTTTTTTGGACAAGGTTATGTAATATTTTTGGCAGCTTTAGACACAAGAAATGTCAATTTGTGACTTTCGTTCGGAGCATTCGCATACACCCTGTGATGATGAAATTAACTTAAAATGGACCAAAGCTTACAACAAGTTTCTTGATTTCTCTTATAATTTGTTCGAAAATATCACAGGTACTATGGGCAAACGCTAATGCTAAAACAGCAAGACCTGTTAACTGTGCTATTACAGTAGCTCACTTAAGCTCCCCAAACTAGCCTCTAACTCTCCGCCTATTTCAGATACACTGTTGAAGGGAGCGAACATGGCTAACAGGCCTCATATCGTCAAGGCTTACAACATGTTTACTGACAAACTAGAAACTTGAGCAACTTCACACTAACTGTTTAATGTAGGCTGAACCAACATATAAACCCGTTGACACTCCCAATATGACAATTACTCTTTGTCTGTTAGCCTCAACACTCCTTTTGACAGGTTAGTTGTATTTATTTGTTTAGTGAGCCAAAAGCACAGTCAGTGTGTTAGCTACTTTTATATAAATGGCATCATAAACAGAACATACATTCTGCACATCCAAACAGTACTATAACCAGGGGTGCACATAACTTTGTTCCCCTGGTTCTCAAAGGAGCACCTGGAGATGTTGCTTGGTGCTCATCCTTAAAATGAAATAAACCGTAACTTTTGAGGGGTCTTGACTTTATTTGCCAGACACACGGCACTGAACACACATGCAGAGGTGAACACAAGACAACATTAGCACGACCAGTAATCCTACAAGCTGTCATCACTACCCTCCTGACTGTTCTCCTCACTGTCTTCCTCTCTGTCAGACATGGTAGCTGATGATGTAGGCCAACTTCTTCCTCTCTGGTTGAGTCTGCGATTAGCTGCTTGCATCCACAAGTCAACAGCTGGGTTTGGGTTGAAAGTCTCTGTTGTCATCTTAGACAAGTGGATGTAATCAAATAAGTATGTGAACATAACCAATAACCTACCATAGCCAATAACAAATTAATGTAACTTATTTAATTGTTGTTGTTCATATCTTATTTTACCTTAAAGGGCCCATTGCATGCTTTTCCGGTTATTACCCGTCTCCTTGTGTGTTATGAAGGTGTCCATGCATGTAAACAGTCTGCAAAGTCAAAACCCCTCAAAGTACACCCTGTAGGGAGTAAAACTCTAACACAGAAAATACATTATTTATTTATGCTTTTTTTATCTTTACAGTTGTAAAGGATATTTTTGGTTTACTGTCCTATAGTATACATTGGAATGATTTCAAACCTGTTTTATCCCAATAATTATAAAGGAGTGCCTTGAAAATATGTGTTTACATAAATTGTGATCAAAACGTTTGAGACCCACTGAGATAACTTAGACTAAAGTGAACTATCTAAACACTCAGAGTCCTTTAACTCACTGAGCTGTAGTATCAGCCACTCAGTCTGACTGGAGAGGACTCTCCCTCCACATTAATGTAGAAACATCTTCTTCTTATATCCGTTAGAGCAGCTAGCACCAGATTCTAATAACACGCTCACTCGCACTTTGGCTGTGAGCTGCGGGCGCCAGATAAGCCAACATCCCCCATTTTCATCACTTACAGCACCCATTGTACAGGGCAAATGAAACGTGTAACCGGGGTGAAAAGGGTGTTACATTTACTTAATTATGAATATTGTTACATCAAGGCCGAAAATTAGGATGAGCACCAACGGTCAAAAATGTTTTTTTCCCTCCCAGAGCTGCCAGCGCAGCGCCTCCACAGATCTGGCGCCCTAGGCGAACATCTATAACGCCAGTGCTACGGGCCGGCCGTGAGTTCATATGCAACTCGCAAATATCTTTCTCTCTCTCCTCTCTTCTCTCTTCTCTCTCTTCTTTCTCTCCCTCTCTCCTCTCTCTCTCTCAATGTTGGTACGCAAATGCGCCTTTTTTCAAATGGCACCTGTGCACCAGTTATGTGCAGCCCTGACTATAATAAAACTGCACGGCTAAGCAGAACATTATTAAGGGGGGGAAATTACTATATCATGCTTCAAGCTAGGGTTAGGTTAGGGTAACCCTACAGTTCAGCTTTGGGATTCACAGTTGGATTTCTGTGAAAAGTTATGTGAAAAGGGGAAATGACACTTCTAGAGCTTTCTGAGATTAATTGAGGTGATAGGTGGCTGAGAGAAGCTTCCAGGTTTCAGGGAAACATTTAAACGGACAAAGCATCCAATTTATATGATATTACTGTCTCTAAGGCAGTGGTTCTCAAACTTTTTCTGGCAGGCGGGGGGCCTGACTATTTGTGTTGGGGGGGGCCCGACTTTTTTTTTCTCCAAACACAAATAGTCAGGCTCAGTGGCGGCGCCAGAGATTTATTTTGGGGGTGCTGTGGGGTAGCTTGACATTTCATAGAGGGTGCTCAAACATTTAGGGTTTCCCATTAATGTACCGGTCGCTACAGTGGAACTTTCTACTGCAACAATCCCCACACGCATACACACAGTGTGACAGTTACAATGAAGGCTCGATAATCAGCTCACGACATAGGTGTAAGCAGGGGTAAAGTGCTATTTTTATAGGTGGTGTGTGGACCTCCTCTAGGGGGGTTCGGGGGCAAGCTCCCCCGGGAAGATTTATTTTTAAATATTGAAGTTAAATGCATCAATCTGGTGCACTTTGAGAGCAAAATGAAGAGATCTATGGATACATCTCTCAACACCCATTTGAAACAGAACTGTAAACAGATTTACTTTTTCTTTATAGATATTTTACAAATCACCCTTTTAAACTGTATTCTTGTTTTACTGTCATATAGTATTTCATAGCTGTTTTTCATTTATTCTCTTATTTTTTTATAACTATAATGATCATATAAACGTGTGCCTCGGAAATAATTGTTTACATTAATG